AGGAACGAACCTGCGAGTGGGACTACTTACTATCCATGCGAAAATCAAAAATTTGCTAATCAACACTGAATCTCCATAGATTATTGCATAGAAATCGATACGAAACAAATCACAAGTTATTCGTGCACCAAGAATTTATTTTTCATAGTTGATTTTTTTCGAACATTTTGCCAATAATCTAAGCTATAATAGGTATGAGTTTGAGTTCAATCAGTTCGCGTATTCAATTGCGATAACTGATTGAAAGTGAAAAAACTGAAATTCCCATAGAAATCCATTATGAAACAATAATTTGAATAACTTTTTTCAGAATTATGCTAAAAGACTCAACTTTTCATGAATCAACTGCATACAAATGAGGAAGATTTTATAAAAATTACAACCAATTTCTTGCGCTCATTGATTAGATAATCAAACATGGACCAAACTTTTGAAAAATCCATTCCAATGTTAAAATTTTCAAAATCAATTTTAATTGTTAAGAATTTATTTTTTTAAAAATCAGAATCAGCATATGATTTGCCTTTATTTAATCTATTTATTTTGTAAAAATATTTGAATTAACTTAAATCTTTAAACAGAAAATTCAAAATGAATTTGCGGACCAAACTTTTGAAATAGAGTGTATTAACATAATTGCATTGTAAAATTGGGGGAAATCTTAAATCCCAAAGATGGCGTTGCTAAATTTCATACAACCCTTGCGAGGTTTTACTGTAATCCAATCAGTCATGTTTCCACTCTTTAATGTTCAGTTAAGATCATATGAACGAAGCTAGAGTTCACCTATTTCAAGTGATTAAGTGATTTGTTGATTTAGTTGATAGACTCTTTGAAATAAGATGTTAAACACCTTATTCCGTTACTTATTGTAAAAATCAAAACGCTTCCCAATAGTGATTCAACTTCTTAACTCAAAATAGCCCAAATGCTTTCTTTGAAGCAATACGATAATTTTGTGCAAAAGTTCAGCCTAGAAAAAGTAAAAACGAACCCTAAAATTCGTTTAGCCGTGCCAACAAGACTTGGATATTTCTCGTTCTATTGCAATAATGAAAATGAAGCTGTTTATTGTTCAGACGAATCATCTCTTCGGTACTTGGACTTACCTAAACCAGTCTCTATCGACTGCCTCCAAGGATATGATTCAAACATCAAGTATGGACATGAAGAGCCAAAAAGGGTAAACTTATTGCGATGGATTTTTGAAAATGAAACAATTGTGCGCCACTTTACTTACGATTTCATCTGCAACTGTAGTTTGTTGAAAGATTTGATGATTTCTTCATATACTTCTTCTAATTGGAACCTTTATGCTGTCAAAATCAAAGGAAAGATCATATTGAATCGAGTCAAATCGACTGAGAATGGAAGCATTGTTACACGATCTGATCAGGACAGAAAATCGAGTTATGCAGCGTCTAATTTGCAGCGTTTGATTACAAAGAACAACAATCATTCTAAATGTTTTGATGGACAAGAAAATGATTCTTTACATGGCGTTTTTCACTCAAAGATTGGATCTCATCAAATTTTATATTCAGGTTATTTGGACTGTGTTAAAAATAAAGACGAATTGAATAAAACTTTCGATAAAATGAATTTTGTTTTGATCAGAAATTACAATGCTCCGAGTAAATCTCATACATCTCTTCAAGCTAACACTTGGTGGTCATTGGCTAGACTCACTGGAGTTAGTACAGTTATTCGTGCCAAGTGCGAACAAAATTTTACAGTTAAAAATATTGATAAGTTGGAAATTGGAAGTTTAATCAGAAAAAGCACAAAAATGAAATTTGTTGGTTCATTAAATTTAATTCTCGATCATTTCAAGTCAATTGTTGTACATGAAAATAGATGTTATCACTTTCATTTCAACGGCAAGGATAGAAAGTTGGCTTGTTATGAAAGTGGAATTAGATAAAAATTTTATGTAATCTTGGTATAGTATTCATGATCAATTACTCATTGAATCTTAGTAATAATTAGTTTAAACATTGTATTTTCACAGTTAACAGATTAAAGAATCAATGAAAATTTAACTTTTTATCAATTAACTAAATATTAGTACATTTTGCGACATGTGATTGATTTCATGCAATAGCTAGCATTGAATAAAAAAGTGCAACTGGTATTAACAATGTGAAAAAAAGTTTCATTTTTGTAAAGTTCCATCTGGAACTCATTCATCTGGTAGTTATTCTTGGAATCATGTCAATGCAGTAAAGTTCTTTCGTTTGAGGCACCAAAGGCTGACTGAGATACTTCATTTTTGTTTGGTCAAAAATCATAAAACTCTTTGTCCATTGAGAAAATTTCGAGACACTGAGAGAGAATGAATGAGACAGTTTTCAATATTTTCAGTATGTGATGGGTGTCTTAAAAATATCGAGTTACCGCACAAAATTTAATTGTTTTCTTCTCCTAAATACCCGATACAACCCATTAACCCGAAGAAAATTCAAATATCCTTTTCTGTCATCAGGAATATGCACAAGAAGAATAAAATTGATTAAAATTATAATCCAATAACTGTCCACAAATCGAAGTTTGAGCTCAGAACATTATTTATTTTCTCGAAATCTGTTAACTAAAGAAGTTTTTCTATCTCCCAATGCTCTTGAAACCCCCACTAATAGCAAAAAAAGACCATCTCTAAAAGATCAATATTGAACTTACGATCTGATTGAGCTCAACCTTTAAAAATTCGATAACTCGAAGAAAGATCGAATGGCCTAAAAGATACAAAAATCATTCATAAATTTAAAGATATCTGATGATTTTGGTCTTTACTCAATCATTTTATTAGTAACAGTTTCCCTTGCGACATCTACGATTCTATGACATTGCTTTTATAATTCATATAATCCTTGCATAAACCTAAATTTGAAGCGCTGTCGCTTTCATTTCTAGAGGGAGACTGAAAAGAGGTTTGCTTTAACCGGGTACTTTAGTGTTTTTGCAATGTCTCATTGAACCACTTTTGTGCAAGAGTTATATCAAAGAAGTGTCATAACAAACCATACAATTTGTTAACGAAGTTTAGATTCCTTTTGTATTTTTGCTTGAATTGAAATTTTGAATCGCAACCGCAAGTATTGATTTAGCAACATGCCCTGGACCAATCAAACAACAAGTGCTATCCTCATTGATGAGTTAGACTTGAATCAATCGTACCGCCAAACAACCAATTGTGTTTCACTGGAAGGACCAAAGAGAATCGGATATTTTTCATGTTATGATAATAACAATGATATTGTTTTCAGTCAAGATATATCATCTTTACGGTACTTGGACTTACCTAATCCAGTCTCTATCAATTGTCTCCAAGGCTATGATTCAACTAGAAAGTATGGTCATGTTAATTCTAGCGATATGCTCTTATTGCGATGGGTCTTGGAAAATGAAATAACCATGCAGAAGTTCCCTTCGGATTTTATCTGTAAAAATGGTTTAATGAAAGATATGATGATTGTTCTGTATGATGATGACAATTGGAGCCTTTCTGCTACCAAAATCGGAGGGAAAATTGTTCTTAATAAGATGGAGTCGATTGAGAAAAAAGAAAACATTGATTCACAAACTGAACATGTCAATCAATCAACTTATGCAACTTCTTTACAACGCTTGATTACTCAGAATAGCAATCATTCTCAGTGTTCTTCTGGAATAGAAAATGATTCATTTTTTGGTGTTTTCCATACAAAAATTGGCTCTCATCGGATACTTCATGCTGGATGGCTACATTGTGTTGAAAGTAAACAAGAACTGGATAAACCTTTCGTTCATATGAAGTTTGCTTTGATCGGAAAATACAATGGTCCGAGAGAGTTTCATTCATCTCATAAAGCTAACACTTGGTGGTCATTGGCTACACTTGCTGGAGTTGATACAATTATCCGTGCTAAATGTGAACGAGATTTTAGGGTTAAAAAAATCGATAAGTTGGACGTTGACAATCTAATCAATAAAAACAGACAAATGATATTTTTTAATTCATTGAATGTGGTTCTTGATTTTATCAAGTCAATTGTTACAGAGGAAAACAAATGCTATAACTTTCATTTCAAGGGCGAGGATAAAAAGTTGACTGGATACATGAAGATGGATGCAGATGAAAAGCTGATTCCACCATGGTATATTGATGTTCAACTTTCGAGCAAATCTCTATAACCATTCATTTGGATATGCATTGCTACATTTCACTTTAAGCTATATTAATATCAAATATCTTTTGAATAAATAATAAAGATTCTTTCTGAAATTACGTTAATTGTTTAAGTAAAATTGAAACGATGTTTGTTAGTCGGTTACCCAACAAAACTTTTAAAATCTTTGTCCTCCTAAATACTTAAATTTGCTCAGCAACTTAAAGTGGATTAAAATATCCTTTTCTATCCAAATCAAGTAAAATAGACTTTCATAGAATTTTATAAGAAAATTTTACGTAAGATAGACAGAGAAACAGACATAACTTCAAAAGAAGATAATAAATTAAATTATTTCTCTTTCCTATTTTTAACACTTCATGTTCAAGTATTGAGCTTCATAGTTTAAAATGCAAGTTTTCAATTGCACAACAAAATATGATGTTCATTAGCTAAAAATCAAGTGATTTATAACAGATGATTAAATAATGAGAATGCTCAATCAATTTGAATCATTCAATTGTACTGAATTTTGAAAGCAAACGATCGAGAAGAATACACCCAATTTCTGCAAACTCACAATATCTTGACTATAAAATCTCGTTCGCATTTAGCTTGGATAATTGTATCAACTCCAGCAAGTGTAGCCAATGACCACCAAGTGTTAGCTTTATGAGATGAATGAAACTCTCTCGGACCATTGTATTTTCCGATCAAAGCAAACTTCATATGAACGAAAGGTTTATCCAGTTCTTGTTTACTTTCAACACAATGTAGCCATCCAGCATGAAGTATCCGATGAGAGCCAATTTTTGTATGGAAAACACCAAAAAATGAATCATTTTCTATTCCAGAAGAACACTGAGAATGATTGCTATTCTGAGTAATCAAGCGTTGTAAAGAAGTTGCATAAGTTGATTGATTGACATGTTCAGTTTGTGAATCAATGTTTTCTTTTTTCTCAATCGACTCCATCTTATTAAGAACAATTTTCCCTCCGATTTTGGTAGCAGAAAGGCTCCAATTGTCATCATCATACAGAACAATCATCATATCTTTCATTAAACCATTTTTACAGATAAAATCCGAAGGGAACTTCTGCATGGTTATTTCATTTTCCAAGACCCATCGCAATAAGAGCATATCGCTAGAATTAACATGACCATACTTTCTAGTTGAATCATAGCCTTGGAGACAATTGATAGAGACTGGATTAGGTAAGTCCAAGTACCGTAAAGATGATATATCTTGACTGAAAACAATATCATTGTTATTATCATAACATGAAAAATATCCGATTCTCTTTGGTCCTTCCAGTGAAACACAATTGGTTGTTTTGCGGTACGATTGATTCAAGTCTAACTCGTCAATGAGGACAGCACTTGTTGTTTGATTGGTCCAGGGCATGTTGCTAAATCAATAGTTGTGGTTGCGATTCAAATTTATTTCCAAATGGAAAAAACTTAATAATAATAATTATTACATAAAAACAAAATTACTTTGTAGAACAGATGTAAATGTGTCAAATTGGAGTAAGGTCACTTCACGTCAATCCATGTTTCTTGCCATTTTAGTGAAATTTTTGTTCTAAATCAAACTTAATATGAATATTTATCTGCAAGAATAATTGCTGGGACAAGTAGAGATCGAAATGTTTGCTCAATTTAATGCAATTGTTGATTTTAATTCTAAAGTAAGAAATATCGTCATATGCTATTGAGGTCACTTTAATTGAATTAAATTTTCAGCCCTTTGATAACTTGTTAAGGCACCTTTTTGGTTCATAAGGTTCATTAGAGTTAATTCATTCAAATAGATTTAAAATAAAGTCGCATTAAAATATTATCGAAATGTCTTCATCGTTTCATCGCCTCTAAAGAGGCTAAAAGAGACGAATTTGAATTAGGATCACACATGTGGGGTGAAAATTACGTCAATCAAATAGCTATTACTGAACTCATGGTGGTGACAATACAAATGAGAATAATCTCCTTTCTCTTACCTAAAAACACAAAATCGAACATTGTTCATTAACTTGGTACATGATAGTGAATATAATCTCCATATCCTTCTCATGAAATTCATAAACTATCTTTTTACTTTGAGTGCATTTTCATTGTTTGAAAGGGGCCTTTTCTTGATCGGTAAAAAAACATATTAATTTATCTTAGATTTTTGTTTCGATATTGAGATGAAATTATTTGATTAACTGGTGATATAAAGTATAAAAGATGATATTAAACCCATTACCAGCATCAGTTTATCAACGATTGCCATTAAAAACATTTAATTTCTAATCCTTTACCAAAACTATGAAAATGATCGTGACTCTCTTCGTTGTCTTTGCTTTTGCTTCTTCAGCTTTTGGTTTCTCTTGTCCAGTTCCTGAGACTACTCCTGGTGCCGATATTGACAAAGTAAGTTCATAATACTTGTTGTGTTTAGCCGATACGTTTGACTTTATCCATTAATTCGGTATTCAATTGATTTAGATTGCGGGTCAATGGTATCAAATTAATGGAACAACTTTAACATCAAATGATACGTACATTTTCACTCCTCGAGAAGAAGTAGACTTTGAAATTGAAATTACAAAGCATACGTAAGTAAGCACAGTTCAATGATTTCAATTTTCAGTAATGCAAATTATTCATCCATCATCTAGTGGTGAAAAGTTTAGCGCGATTTGGTACGGCAGACGAACTGATAATCAAAATTTACTGAACATCTATTTTGATGTGGCAAAAGGTAAGTAATTTTTGCCTACTTTATATTACATGATGTGTGTTATTAAATTGACAATTTAACAATTGATCAATACATTACATGTATAAGAATTATTTCTTCATTATTTTTCATTTCAATAATTATTAATATTATTTTTTATTTTTTTCCAGAGGCTCCAGTTTACCTTTCCTTAAATGTAGTTGCTACTGATTACGATAACTATCTGGCTGGTTATCTATGTTGGCTTTTTCAAACTGAATTTTTCTGTGAGTATCACTCAAGCTAACTAACTAGATGTTTCTAATGTAAATTGATTTTGTGTTGATACTAATTTAACTTTCCTATCATCACAGTCGGTAAATTAATTTTATCCAGGACTAACATCTTGGATGCTGACAAGTATGACGAGTTGGACGCTTTGTTGACTGATAAAGTTGGCAATAGTATTGTACCAAGTATTCAAAAAGACTAACTATTGTTTAATCTCTCAGTGATGACATTTACTTTGAAAAATTGAATTTCCCTGTAATGGTTGATAAATCTAAAAAAAAAATTTAAATAAATAAATAGAAATTTTTCATTGCATAGTCGAAAACTGTTTTATCATTATATGATGACCGTTTTGTATTTTCAGCATCTTTTTGTATTCATGCGAAAATTTAAAGCTTAGGCATAAGAATCACTCGTCTATTAAGCCATGCATCTTCTAAGAAGCAACAATAAAATGAAATAACCAGCCAGTAATAACAGGAATAGATACCGAAGCCAGCCAGGTGATGGCTGACAACGGAAAACATTGACTAACCGAAAGCTAGCTTTTAGTTAGTTACACTTGGTGGTCATTGGCTACACTTGCTGGAGTTGATACAATTATCCGAGCTAAATGCGAACAAGATTTTACCGTTAAAAAAATCGATAAGTTGGACGTTGACAATCTAATCAATAAAAACAGAGGCAAATGATATTTTTTAATTCATTGAATGTGGTTCTTGATTTTATCAAGTCAATTGTTACAGAGGAAAATAAATGCTATAACTTTCATTTCAAGGGTGAGGATAAAAAGTTGACTGGATACATGATGATGGGGCCAGATGAAAACCTGATTCCACCATGGTATATGGATGTTCAACTTTCGAGCAAATCTCTATAACTATTCATTTGGACATACATTGGTATATTTCACCTTAAGCTAATATCAAATATCTTTTGAATTTATAACAAATTTAATCAAAATTCTTTAAGTAATTACGTTGATTACTGAAGTAAAATTATAGCGTCGTTTGTTAGCCAGTTTATTGAAAATATTGAGTTACCCAAAAAAATTGGTACAATCTTTGTCCTCCTAAATACCTTTTGCTAATCAACGCAAAGTGAATTAAAATATCCTTTTCTGTCCAAATCAAGAATTATAGAATCTAACTTTAAATTTACTGAAGATAGACAGCGAAATAGACTGAACTGGGAAAGAGGGTGATAAATTGAATCATTTCTCTTTCATATTTTCAACACTTCAGTTTTCGGATATTAAACTTCATTTGATATAATGGGAAATCCAAGTTTCCAATTTACGAATAGAAATTTATTGCTCATTAGCTAAGGATCAAGTGATTCATTTGTAAGATCGCATGCATTTACTTTAAAAAATTTCATTTCCAATTAGCTGAATTAATCAAACTTTAATGTTCAAGACTATCAAGTTAGAGATGTGCTCAATTTGTCCTACCCATTGTATAAAATAGTAAGATGTGAGTAAACAAAACATTTACATCTGTTATTACAATGACTGATTATTTAATTTTTATTGGTGCTTCTTGCAAGATATACAATATGACCGACAATATGTATGACTGAATCGACGAGTGTACCGGGCGTTTTTTTCTCATTTTACGCCTTCATGCAAGCATAACTCACGAACGGTTAGTGCTACAGACTTCAGATTTAAAACATAAGCTTATCTAGATTGCACAACGATAAGTTCAAGTGCTCAAGGTTATTCAAGGTCAATTCTTTATTTGACCTCTTATTGTCACTTCATTGATT